AAGTTAATAAACGTGTAACAAAAATCAAAACAAAATGCAGTCGCGTTATCTAACAGGCTTTGTTAACACGTGTTATACAGCTTTTCTTTAACTGGTTGAATATGACAAAGAAAATCGAAATGTATTATGATACATTTTATTCTCATTACTTTTTTCGCGCACTGTAAATGGTTGCCACGAATTTTCAAGCGTGTTCCAGCGAAGCAATGGCATATTTTTAATTTTTATCATACAGATAACTAAAGCAGCAGTGGAAAGAATGAGTTGTTACGTAGCGCATTTATTGTTGAAACCGGCACTGGTTACATGTCCGAACAATTCATTTTCATTGATGAAAGCGCCTTTCACACAAATACGGATATTTGTATGTGAATACAAGAGCTCGATTAAGAGTAGCATTTGATCCTCCATGTAACTAAAAAGGCAAAGCAGGTCTATCACAGAATAAAAAGTCTCAGCAATCAACCATAACCATACAATATCGTGAGCCCAAAGTTTGAGATGGTTGTGACTTTGAATAAGCCAGGGTCGTTCGTGTTGCAAACAGTGATATTTTTCCGTATTAGTAACTCAATTGTTGTTCAGTAATATGTATTTTATCTTCATTTGGATCCTTATACAAGAAGTATTTACCTATAGTATGCTGGAAAAATTCATCACGTGTTTATTCGAAAATGTCACGTGAAAATTATAATCACTGTAATCACAATAACCACTAAAATTTTAGGGTGTTCCAGCATTTGAAAACAATAATTATTAGTTTTAGTTTGACATTTGTTTAAACACAATATTTTTAGTTTGAGTATTAATAAAAAACAGAATGTATGAATGATATATAATCAAAAACACTGTTAATATTTGATAGAAAAGATTATTTTTTTGCAAAGTGATAAATTTGCAGCACACTGCAGTTCAATGGTTTTTTCAGTTACATGCTTCTAATTTATATCTGGATATATTGATATTGTGCAAAGTCTTTGTAGCCCATCTCTGCCAAACTAATAACTAGTAAACTATTACTATGGTTTGAAAATAAAGCCAAGCACTCATTGGTAATGGCAAATCAATAATTGTGATAGCATGGGAAATGGAAATTTGAATATAATAATAAAGCTATTATAACTAATTGATAAATTAGCAGAAACACTGATGAATCAACACAATAACAATTTGTTTTATAATACCTAATATGTTATTGCATATCCATAGAAACAGACAGAATTTGTTCAGATTCATAGTTGTTTTCTGGCTTCACTAGACCACGATGGGCAAATGATGGTGAAAGATATTCCTGAATACAGTCAGAATCAATAAGCAGCAGCTGAGGCATGTCTGAAAGATCAGATGAACCTTTGCAAACCCGATTTGTGAAAAAAACAAGAACCACATCATAATGGTCTCTATATCTTCTGACTGATTCTAGTGTTGTTGTATACCACTTGAAAAGTTCTTTGTAGGTAATTTCAGAGTTAGTTGTTTCAAGTAGTGAATGCTTGTCTTGCATGAAGATTGCTAATGGTTTTCCAGAAACAGAATCAATAGCCCAACGATAGTCCATATTGGCATTGTTGGTAGCATGATGGTAAATGCCATTCATGAGATCTCGGGTAATACCATCATCACATGTTACTTGAGTGTTGAAGAGTGCAGTGTCTTTGGATAATGTGAGAAACCTCTCTTTTTCAGTGAAGACACCCACTTTGTGCAATATCACTTCATGTTGAAGAAGAGCTGCATCACCTTTTGCACCTCGAAAGACATCAGACAGGTGCCAATTTTTTTGCTTCTCATCAGTGAGATGGCTGATTTCTTTCTCAATATAATAAGCTTGTGCCCCCTTTACACCTGCCAGCTCTTTTTTAAGGTCTCCAATTCTGTCCTCCAAAGCCCGAACTTTTGCATCTTTAAGGTTGATTAAAGCCTCAATTAGTGCCTTTTGATAATATCCATGAAGGACTTCAAAGTCTTGCCATAACCAAGGGCGATCTTTGTTTGGAATCAGTAGCAGATGATCTGGAATAACAGGTCCCTCTGAAGTATATTGGAGCATCTTGTTGAGTATCTTCAATAGCATAAAGGGCATAGTAATGTTAACCAATTCTATATTGTCAGATTTGGAAGGCCTTGATAGATAAATCAAACCAGTCTTTTCAACCTCACCAATAGAATTCCCACTAGGTAGCATAAACTCTCGTGTAACAGCCAGTCTTGTAAGCCCTAATGAGATTATGATGCGGATGTCATCATGAGACCTCCAGCAGCCTGGTGCATTAGCAATCTGAATAGGTCGTTGTGACATGCGGTCAAGAAGAGCCCCTCCCCAATCAAAGTTGATTTCAGGCTCAGAATGCTGTAAGAAATCATCAATAAATTTTGGAATAAAGCCTGTATCATGCAATGCAATATTAAAGTGTGACTGCTCCAAGATTAAGTTGCACAGTTTTGTTGAAAATTTGTTGATATCACTGTCTGAAAGTGAACCACCATGATGCTTCATAATAGACTGCTTCACAGCCATCCTGTTCTTATCAGTAGTCTGTCTTGAATATTCATATTTGTCACGAAACATTTCTACTGCTGAGGTGTAATCCAAAGGCTTCAGTGGAATTATTTTTCTAGTATGATCTGTAGGCAAAAAGTGTATATCAATGGCAGAAGTCCCAGTACATATTGGGACAACAAAGTACTGCTTGTTAGGATGACCATCTATGACAATATTGGTGCGCATAATACTACCAATTGCCTTTAGCATCTGCTTGAAGAAGTTACGAGCTTTATCCCATGACCGGTTTGCCTGTTGGGCATCATTAATGTACACTTGATACTCATCTATGTGGATAATAAGAACATCAAGAGTACGGTTGTGTGCTTCAAAGCGGCGTTTAAATATCTCTTGTATTATCTCAGGCATGCTAAAGAGCTCAACAGGATAATTGTCCATCATGTCACTTAGTTGCACATCACTCAAACCTGAAGCTACTGCTAGACGTGCACCTATTCGCACACTTGCACTATATTTTTCATCAAATTGTTGATCATATGAATATCCATTGTTGAGATCGATATGAAGGTAGTAGGGGTTTTGAAGAGCTTCCCGGAACAAGTCAATTTCAGAAACACGAATATCAAACTTAAATCCAAAGTAGTCTGCATGGGTGACCAGGTGTTGCAATTCCCATCCTGAGCGTGATTTGCCTATCCCTGATCCACCAGGAAGCAGCATAAAAGTGTGGACTTTGTGATCAATATTTCCATGGTTGTTGTAGTTTGAGGTGACAACAGGTATAACCTCCTTGATAAATTTTCGCCGATCATAAAAGTTGTGCAAAAACTCTGGTGAATCAGGTTGCTGCTTTAGTGTCTGCCCTTCCAGAATGGATGCCAAAGTTCTATCTATGCGAGCTTTCTTTGCAATAGGCATTGTCTCTGAAAATTAATGAAAAAATTAAAATAGGGAGTTAATCGACATCACAAGCAAGTGACAAAGAACTAATCAACAATGTTATGTGTCACAAGTTTACCAGATGGGGTATACACAAAAAGCCGGATATTCTTAGCAAAGGACCTTTGGACCCAAGTAACATCATCCAGTACTGTCATGTCAAAATTCTTGAGAATGGAAGCCAATTCTTGTTCTTCATCCAGTTCGATTGCTTTATTAACATCTTTAACCATCTTTGTGGCCTTGAGAGTGAGTTTGACTGAAGCATATGTATCAAGTTCAGGTGCTACTTCACTCTTGATAGCCTTCTTGAGGTCATACACATTTTCAACTCCTGTCAATGGAACTTGGCCCCAGGTACTTTTTGTATTCATGAGCTTAAACCAAGCCTTTGGAGGTCCCATGTCAGCTGTGTCTGTTTCAATCCCACCAGTGCCAACAGTGCCAAAGGATCGATGCAAAAAACGTTGATACCAAAAATGTAGATGCCAAAAACGTGGCTTTGTGCAAACAGTAACAACTCCTAAAGTATGACGTGGCAGAGCTTTTAGATCAGCTGGCGTGGGGGGCCCACCCCACTGGTAACTTCTATGGTTTTTAGGTTTTGCGATATTTGTTTGGTTGAAAGGACGTGTTAAAGGACTAGAAGTTGGGGGAATAGTTGTAAAACGTAGACGATCTCGAATGATCAACTTGTCAAGCACGACGTTACCTTTGATAGAGTGATCGAAGCTTTACTTGCGGCCGAACAAATACCTGAACAGAGCGAGCACGCGCAGAATGAGCGGAAACAATTCATACAGGTAAATACAAAGCTGTTAGCTGAATTCTATCTCCAACCTGCTGAGCATGTGAACTGATCATACTAATACCGATTGAGACGCAGGGAGATGTTCATATTGAATATGAAGATATTAAAAAAAAAAAAAAGCCACCCGCCAGAAAACGTATCGGTCACATGTTCAAAGATGATCATCTCCATCCAAAAAATAAAATAAATCGGAATATAAATAGTAATTCGCTATTTTTGTTCATCGATATTCATAAACACGATAGAAAATATAGACGATAGAATCTCACGTTATCCTTTCCTCTCTACCACACGTTCGCTCAATCGCATTTGATCCTGCAAATAAACAATAAAATCAGCCCGCATGCGCATTGTTCAGATTCGCAACCACAACTTAACACTGATATCGATCAATTTCAAAGCTACAAGTAAACGGTACGCACATGTACCCATCAGATAAACGTCCATATTGTTTTTTATGCATATGGCCCTCATATCACACAAATCTCCTGGGCGGAAATTTTAATTTGCACGTCGATATTAGTATATACTTAACATGTTATTCTCAACAATTCATTGAGAATGTCATAAACAATGGCATATTATCCCGTCAGAGTTCACTAGCTCCATAATACAAATAGTAAAAATGATATTTTGCAGGAAATAATCTCGTCGTTGTCATACCCCCCGTGATCAATCAACGACAAATTTTGATTCCTATCGCTACGTCTTAACATGCCCGAGTATTTTACAAGTATTAGAAGAATCGACGTTCCTCGGCCTGTTCGGGCATATAGGCCACGCTGATAACAACGATCCTTGGTAGGTGTGCAACGACGCCAAGAAATGGAAATCGTGGGATACATCGATATATCATATGCTCTAATATTTACTGATTACTGCATTTCAATGATTAGTTAGATCAGTCCATGGGTGCGAACGCCTGTTGGCTTGAGAGAAGGCAAGTAACAATGATCATGTATTGGCGTAAGGAAGTACCGAAGTATGCCAGTTGGTAGTAGGGCGAGAGAAGATTAGCAGCAAGCTTTAGAGGACGATTAAGAACTCTTTTCTCTGATATAACTGATCCTGAGTGCTATTTTTATAACAACGTATGCGGCATGCACGAGAAGTAATGGTATCTAGTTATTATAACCTTTCTACTAATAATTTACAGTTGCAAAAAGCAATGTAGATTTCTCTGTTCATGAAGGGCTTAGATCCTGAGGAGTACATGGACCCTTCAAAAAGCTGGCGTGACAACGAAAAGCTGGTTTATGGGAAACTAATACGGGAGTTAGTGGTGAGTCGATGACTGCGAAGTGAACGTATAGAAATCGAAGAAATTCTCAAAATTGCACATAAGAATCAGCGCAGTAAATATCTGAAACTCACCGACGCTAACGCAAAGGCATTGTATTCACATCGCATCCGGTGTAATAACAGAAATACATCTGGTTTTGATTGACCGATTGACTGCACATTCTATATATTATAATTGGTATCTTCCTTGAATTTATAGAAACGGCAGAGGAGATTATTGGCAATTTTAATCTGGCCATTAATAAAGTAATTTATCTTGTCCTGGATATTTAATAAGTCAAAACACGTGCTCGCTAACCTGGTTAACGTAAAAAGTCGCCCCATAAACAAGTATGATGTTAGCGAGCTTGAGAGAATTGTCCAGGATTGCCGCTACCACTCCCCAGAACGTTTTCCTGAACGTTCATCCAGCAGTTCGTCATCGGACGAAATAATAGTTTATAATTTGAGCTGGCGTTCTGAAGAGGTAAGCCTTTGGGACTATCTAACAATTATTTAAGCTCTTATTTTCAGTTGAAGAGCCTCCTTCGGGACGATAAACACGGCTTTGAAGTGCGAAAATCAAGTCATAAGAGGAGACGTATTATGAGTGAGGTAGAAGAACGCGCTGATATTCCGGAAGGAGCACCAGCGTGGTATACTCTTGTAAGACAAAACATAATACAATTAATTAGATTATTGGCAATTAGTGGTGATAATATAATGCAATAAAGAGGATATATTCTAATCTAATAGCTGCATATGACGTTGACGGTAACTGTATGTGGATCAGAAACAGTATCATTATCATTATAGTCAATTAATCGAACAAGGTGGATATATGTGTCATAAACAATCCAAGTAAACACTCTCTCTCGAGCCATATTCTTACATGGATAATATGTTTGAAACTCGATAAAATTTCATTTTTCCGTTTGAATTTTAAATTCTCCAGGTCGAAGTTAATATGTGCGTGGCGATAAAAAATTCATAATAGGAAGGTGGAATTACAAATTCGTCTAGAATTGGGGAATAATAATATGGGCTAAAATAAACAATGATAGCCACGAATGTCAATGCGTTATGAACAAAATGTATATGAGTTTTTTGGTACATGGCATATATTACCGTACAGAAAACTCGATGATTACATATCACGACAATTCGTATTCACTTCCTATTAATCCCCCAATCATAGAGTGGTCAATAGATGAGTGTCATGGTGTGATCAAGAATAGAATAGATGAGTGTCATAGTGTGTTATAGATTGATTGTGCAGCTGGAACTGTTGTTAACAAACCAATAAGTATGAGAAATATAATTTTGTACCCCGGGTACTTTACACGGATACATAATACTCTGTCCATAGTACCCCCCGAGTAAAGTACCCTCCCCTATTACAGGATTTGTAAAGTACCCCGGGTCCTTTGGTCAGCGCTCTACGGTAATTAAATAAATAGGTATTTCAATCTAAAGTGTGCATTAAATCAATGAAGATACTGGGTGAAGTCGGAAATAATCGAGGAATACAATGGCGTGAAAAACATCTTGGATTAATATTATAGATATAACCGATATACAACGTCTTCACCAGTTTTACAAAGTTGAATTAGTAAAAATCGTGTAGATCGATATGTCGTGCATAAATCCCGTCATCGTATAAAGTACCCCAAAATTGAGAAGAGTCCCTAAAATTTTTTTCTCAATCAGCTGAGTTATGTAATAAGACTACTGTAACAATAACAGCAGTAACCCTTGTGCTTTCCTACCAAGCATAAACTATGTTTACTTTCTTATTAATTTGTTCAGATATAAAGCCGTTATTATATGAACGGAACAATCTGGGAGTGATGCTTTCTGATGTTACACGGAAATACCAACCCTTCGTTGTTACTAATACCTTGTTAATATTATCGTCGCTGTCTTGTTATAATGTTTTAATAAACATCTTAACAGCCTATTACTATTATTAATTAATTCTCGTTGTTGGTATGACCGTTGTTTACAGGAATCTCAATGTAACTTCGTTGTTATATATAGAAGAACACAGTAATTACAATTCAAACTAAATACTACGTGTTGTCATATTAATAAATAAGAATGCGAAACAGAACAATTGTATGTACTGTACAATTGCATTTATTAATATAGATGAAAATGCTGACGATTTTCTGACGAAATGAAGCAGACACTTAAGCCTATAATCACATGTATGTCCACAGTTTTTTTTTGTCCAAAACTAATATAATAGAACTCGGTATGTATGCAGAGGGAAGGTACAGTCGACCCTCCTCCATATATACACCCTCCATATATGCACGCCAAGTCTTATTCCCAAGCTCGGGAGTTAGTAAATATATGCACACCCTCTATATTCTGCA